AACTGTTTAAACCTAATATTCTAGTCTTACTGATAACCTTGAGACAACTCCATAACAAAAGTTAACCAAAAAGAAGACAGCTTAGATTCTATACACTGGATTAATATGACCAATATGATTTTACCCATTATTTTGTGCATAAAGAGAATTAAATTTTTATAACGTTAGCGAGCTCATATTGATAGATTGTGGCATTAACTGTGATATTATTTGTTTTTCTTGTTTGATGATTTACAATTTATGATGTGAGGATTTTTCACAACCTTTCCAAATGGTCACTCACTAGGAGGGGGGGGGAAAGGAAGGGTGAGTAGATCAGTGATTTCATAAGGGGGGTGGCACTCCTCTAATAAAGTGCAGAGGGGTCTTAGTTAATAAAAATTTGTCTCTTCAAGAGCAAATTGGGCACTTCTGTCATTTTAGAGAGGAGTTCCATCTCTTCCCCTCCCCCCTTCCCCCCTTCCAACACGCTTTTTTGTGATATTTCTTGAAATACCTTTCCACAGCCAGGGGGTCCCCAAAAGATCATGGATGGAATTTCGTCAGCCTCAAGCAAAGTCCTCAAAAGACTGTTATTTCCAACAGCTTGGGTTTGACCGACATACTCTGCTAATGTTTTAGGCCGCATTCTTTCAGCTAATGGAGTAAATTGACTGCTTTTCGATTTTTGCCCCTTGTTGTGTTCTATGCCTTTCTTTTGGCCGAGAGATGGCGAACTAGAGTGTTGGAGAGAAAGGAGCTCCTCTGTTACTTTATTTTGCGTTTCTTGACTATTTTGGTGCAACTTCAACCTTTTCGAAGAAGAATCCGTACTTGCTTTTCCCGCCAAATTAGAAGAACTCCTTTTCAAGGCGTTTGTCGGAGGACTAGTATTACCAAACCAGCTGCTGGAAGCCTTTTCATTTTTCGATTTTTTGACTGTTGATCCATCTGGAGATTTAGTGTTCCCTTTGAGAAGACTGTTTGCTAACATGCCCTTTTCATGTTGTCCGCTGCCTCCATTGCTTTGCAATTCAATATCTTGACTGTTCAGACACTTATTCACGTGTTCGTTCACAAACGAGGCTGAAAACGAGCGCCCACAAACTGGACAATCTACACTGCTGGTTTGCAACATACTACAAAATATCTGTACATTGAAATAAGCAAAAGAAATCAGTCTCACTACTGGGTTTCATCAGTTTGATCCCTCTTCTTTGGGGGAGATAGAAGGGGAAAATTATGTCGCCCATTACAGAAATGACGTCACGACGCGTCAAGTATTTCCAACTCACTGAACATGGCCGCTGGATTTAGGAGTTATGTTTGGGATCCGTGCCTTATTATTTCGCAAATTGTCGCCGTTCAATGCGTGTATTACTTATTCTTAGCTTTCTGGGTTGTGTTCGTTGACTTTTCGACGGGAAATTCGCGGTCGCTAGACCAATTTTTTAGTGAAGAGGTAAATACCATCTTTTATCCCTCTTTATCCCCCTTCATCCTTAGATGTCCTTTAGCAGCATATTTTTAATCAAAAATACTTCTTTTCCCACAGGATATTCAATTTACTTCTTCTAGGGGAAAGATAACGATGGTGGCTTTTTGCCTGAACACGCTTACTGGGTCAGTAAACAATTCTACGGTAACCGACCGTAGACTTTCTTCTCCGTCTATTTCTAATGAACATAGTACACTTTTGTAGTCGAATAAATTTTGATTTATTTATTAATTAAGGCGCAATCAAAATGACAGCCAGTGTCAATTGTTTGTTGAAGCCTTGAATACTGAGTTATTTCCCGCAATCCATAAAATGTCTTGAGTGGAAACACGTTTGTCGAGGTATTTTATTAACTAATTTCCTGATTGCGTCTGCACTTTCGCTCATGCCCGGCAGCTGGCAACCACCTAAGTAGACGAAATCCCCCCTTAGTCAGAGATTTTCACTGAATTTCCTCTGAAAATTTGTTTCGAAATTCTTTAAATATCAAATGTTGGTTTAGGAATGTAAAGTGATTCCAAAACTTTTGATGTTTTTACAATGTATGAATTTTCCGAGGTTTCTGACCCCTTGGGCGTTTAGTCTATTTGAGATGTTGCTCGTCCGAGTGTGTCATTGTAAGGGTGCAAACCCACAGTTGAGCCCTGGTTACTCAAATTGCCAAGGGAATTGAGGGTTTGAGTCATAGGGGTTCAACTTTAATTTGGAATTTATTTTTTAGTGATCCTTAACTTGGATAGCTTATCTGTCGTTTTGTACCCATGGATTTTTTGTACAAACTCAACTGAGTTCCAAACAGCTGTGGGTGTGAAATAACTGGATACCCTGGTAAATGCTGGGTTAATTGTAATGGTTATTTTCCTTTGTTTGGGTATGACTATGTATCATAATGGGTTTGGAAACAAGGGAAAATAACATTTGAATCAAGGACAAATCTCAACCACCAAGTGTATTTTTACATAGGGCTGGTGGATTGTGGGTTATTGTTAGGAGAGCAAAGCAAGTAAGTGAATTTTTATCTTAAATTTTTAAATACCAGTATTTCAAGAACTCAGAGACAATATGTAATTAGTATAATATGCATTGTATTTCAAATTTTAATGCCATAAACTTAAAAAAAAAAAAAAAATTACAAGGAAGAAATATTAGGAGTTTCTGATAAAGCCCTGCCCCAGGGTTTTCAAAAGAAGCAGGTTCCTTGCAGTTTATTGCTACATGTAAAATTTGTCCTGCCTCAAGGCAGGAGAATGGCACTTTTGAAGATTGGTAAGGCTGGACAAAATTTGGTAGGACAAAAAAGATCACTGGGCGCACTTATCTCATGGAACTGATTGTGGTGTTTTTCCCCCAGGCCCAATTACAGCTCTGTAAGCCAAGCTGATAGAACTTGATCTTTTCCTGTCTCTAGTGTCTGGATTTTGCTGCCACTGCACATCTTATACACTTGGTCAACTGCTGTATTTATGATGGTTTTCCATCATCAGGTAGCTGGTGGATGTTGAACTTAACATGTATGGCATTGATGGCTGTGATAGGTGAATTTGTTTGTATGAGAACTGAGCTCAAGGCTATTCCAGTTACTGTTTCGTCAGTCAAGTCTTCAGTTTGACATCTAACCAGGTGTAGTTGAATTTGTTGGTGGGAACTAGTCAACCAAACTGATACGCTCCTTGCAAAGTGAGAGCTTGGACAGTCCATTTCAAGTGGTTGTGCTGGGGTACTTGAAGGATGTTAAAATCCATTGTAATCTGAAGTACACATCCTTCCATGGTAGAGAACAATGGGGATACAGACCTGGTCTCAGTTGTTTTGAAGATTGGATAACACTATCCACTGGATAAAACTCTATCTGGTGAATAATGTTATACATTTTGCTTTCCCTTTTCCACTGGATAGCGATTTATCCATTAGATAGCATTATTGGCCCATAATACAACTGAGCCCTGGAGGCTACACATATTTAACTTCTTGCAATGTGTTTCCCAAAAGAATATCTGTAACACAGAAAACTTATGTACCTGCAAGGGACATTTCAAATGATGAAAAAGACAACAGTTGATTGTAGAATCTGAAAATACACATATGTGTATACAAAGAAATATCTGTGTACCTTGTTGTTAAAAGAGAGGATAACACTATGCACTGGATAAATCTCTGTCTGGTTGAAAGGGCAGTATGTTTTGCTAACACTTATCTTCTGGATCGCTTTATCTGCTCTTTGATCAACTGAGCCTTGTTCAACATATCTCATGGTTATGGTTGATTGGCACCACTTGATGGTCACATTTGCTGGTATGTTGCATATGATACTCTGCACACTTAGACATAAACCTACTTCCATTCAAAATTCAAGTGTGTTTTCAACAATAGTTAAAAGCAAAGCCTATCATAGTTAATATTGATGGGTAGTAGCTTTTATATATTTTTAGATATACCTTAATATCTACATTCTTATTGTATTTCATTCCTAATTCACTACGATTTATAAGGGATCATTAATTTATTTATTTACTTTGCGCTTCATCAGTAATGGTCATGCATTTTATACAGGAGCCTCCAGCTCCAATGTAGGGCCAACCTTATCCAACATCATGACACTAGTGAACTGATTGACTGAAGCAACTGGGAACTTTAAGATACAGAAATGATATTGTGGTACAATTTTTCACTTTATTATCTTAATGTTACTGTATGATTAACTATTTTGAGTAACATTGTATTTATGGTGTGCAGAAAAACTCACTGGGTGAATGGTACACATTGGACAGTTTGAATATGAGCTAGAGAGCTGGGGTTGTGCTCTTGAAGTCAAGGCTTCAAGGCAAACTTCACAAGAGAAATATTGCGAAAGACAGACTTGTCTACCTCAAAAGTTGTTTGAACACATTTCCATGTAGCCAACAATGTAACAAAAGAAACTGTAAGGTTGGGCTAAGATTTTAATACTTGGGTGTTTCTTTGCAAAATATTCTATTAGGAAATCGAGGTTTACTCGAAAAAACATACTGTAAATAACATTGGATACATTTTGTGTGTTGACCAAAGCATTTTATTATTTTAATGTACAACATTTTATGTCTTTCATCCATGTGGAAGAACTACAGCAGCAATTTATTCAAAATTGTGATTTTCAGAAGACACTCTTAAGAAAGCACACTTTAGAAACCAATACAATTTTATTTCCACCTTTGGAAAGGATATGATTATGAAAATTGAATAAAATCAAACTTAAATTATCTGAACCTCAATTATAAGGAATTTTTACTGATCCAGACTCACTTCTGAATATTTAATTGTCACATTCAATAATACCTTAATAATAAGTTAATACCTTTTTCCCATCAAACTAAGTGGTCATACTGAAACAGTGTAACATCTAACCCATTGATGCAACTTCAAAGAATGATAGAATTAGCTGCATGCACATGCTGTAGGAGCTTGAAACAAACGGATTTAGGTCAGCATTGCAAAAAATTGCTGTAAAATGCTTACATATACTAAATTCTTTGTCAGATTTTGGCAGTGATGCACAAGGATTTGAGAATGTCCTTTCATTCTTGTGTAATGTTAATTAGATGTTATGCATTCAGTTTCAGTTTTGGCTCGTTAATATTTGAATATATTTTTTTATTATCTGGAATCTATCAAACTGAAATGAAATGGCACAAAATTAATTGTCCAGCTTATTTGATAAAATTCAACAAAGTACTTTATGCTGAAATTTTTGATGTTAAATAATATTATTGGAGAGAAGATTGTCTCAAGAAAGTGCAAGAAATGTATACCAATTTACAAAATAAATATTGTGAAGTTGTAATTTTGTTAGAGTGATAATTTAACCCTTAAACTCCAAGATCAAATTTGTTATTCTCCTACTGTTAACCATACAATTCTTATGTTAGTTCAGAGAATTTAGCATTGGATCAACTAATTAACCCCAAATTGATATTTTTCTTTGTTCTTATCACTTATCTGATTGATATCATATCAATTTTGTAAGGAGAAATTCTGTCTTGGTCACTCATGGGAGTTAAAGGGTTAAACCCTAAAGCCAGAATCCTTATTCTCCATACGCCTCTCTATATTACCTTTGATATTGACAGGGACAATTTGTTTAACTATCAAAGCATCTTAGGTTAGCAATCATTTTCTTTATTCTGTAGTTCTTAATGAATGATTCTCCAATAATACTGTAGGGAGAAATTAGATGCTGGTTACTTAGGGTTTAAAGGGTTTTAGCAATTTCTGCAATACAGTTTATGCAC